CATTAAATTCCAGTGAAATATATTTATGTTTGTGGTTGTAATGTGACAAAATATGGAAAAGTTCAAGGGGTATGAATACTTTTGCAAACCACTGTAGTCTTTATAACCATGCATGCACAGATGTACGCCAGCATATCGTGAGAGACCACATCAGTTATTGTTTTATTTATTATAAAACATTTAACAGTTACTTTCCTCTGGACCTTTCACTACTTTGTGTTCTTCTAAAAAATATTTGACTCTGACAATTTGAAGGCAGGTGAGCTTCTCAATCTTAGGAATCCATGTACTTTTTGGTCATTTGATTTTCATTTTAAAAGGAATATTTAAAAAAAAATTGACGGTTATTCTTTTTTAACTTTTTACTCCAGAAACATAAAAATGGTCTGTCTTTCTTTCCCCCTCAAACCGTATGTTTACCACTGTCTTCAAGGCAACTCAAAGCTGTCCTGTGTAACTTGCTGCAGCCTAAAGTTTGTCACCATGGATCTCATAGTCATCTCTTTGAGAAAGGCTTAATGTTTGTCACATGTTTGAATCATCAGTGATAAACAAACTTATCAGCTGGCTCCTGTTAAAGAAATATAAAACTAGTTAGCTAGCRTTTATGTATTGCATCTGCCTGGTTGGCTAGTTAGAAAGTAAAATGTGTTTATTCATCCCGCTCTGAGACTATTTAAGGTGGATCAAGGTAAATATTTTTTTAAGAAATTAGCTAGCCTAGCTTTAAAATACAGTCTGCAGTTGGCTCCAGGGAACCTACGTAGGTATAGAAAGGTTACCTTTTATTAAATAACACAGGAAAAATAAAAAATTTAACTGTTTATTAGTGAAACATTTAAGCTTGGTAGTTTTCATCTGGAAAAAATGCAAGACAAACTTGTCTTGCTCTTGCATCCAGCCTCATCGCTCAGTGAGCGATTGGCATAAACAGTGTGTTTTGAATATAAGTGATATTATAGCCTCTGGTGGTAAGATAGTTCAGCGTTGCTGTGCTTACACATAACTTACTTCTATCCATCTCGCTGAGTTTTAAAATAAAACTGGCAATGAAAAAGTCTGGTGCCTTCCTCCATGTTTCTGTCCTCGCTGCTTATTTTCTGATAGGGTTCATGTGAGCATTGTTATCAACAGCTCTACAACGAATGTTTTCACTGGTTGATGTGTGATGATGGGCATCTCGCTAAAGCTAATAGTGACCAAGACCCACCCACACCCCAACCAATAAGGTTTATAGTCAGTGAGCAGTCGACTTAAAAATAAAGAAGAAAAACAAACAGTGTTAACGTGCGTGAAAGGGGCAATATCGTGTAAAATCAACTTTTTTTGAGTTTTATATCATGTTAAAATGTTATACTCTCATAAAAACATGCCCAAAGCCTTGCTTTGACTCATTCATGCATGTTTGAGAAATCATGCAGCATTTTTAGGAAGCCATGCTGAGGAGCAAAACAACAGGTGGGGACCAGAAACGCCTTTTGGGACCAGAAACGCCCCTGGGACT